TTCTTACTTTGTATCCAATTTTGCCACCACATTTTATGGTCTTGTGTTTTGCATCTATTCATGAGTGTTGTCAAAGTCAAGCCTTTAGTTCTCAACAGCAATCACACTTTCACTCACATAAGTAGCCCCATAGGAAGTATTTCGTAATTATAGTACTTCAACATATATATGTTATAGGTCTATTAATAACTTTTGTTTAACTTTACCTTACACATTACGAAAACTAAGCACCACACACTTTTAGATGGAAAATATAAATTAGTGCTTGCAATCATTCATGTGGTGGAATAGTCAGTACCCAAGATTAGCAGGTTAGCCACAAGGGTCGAGGTGAGCTCCCACCATTGGAGATTTAGTTGATAAACTTGAGACCCATCTCTGTTGAGGTTTTTTATTAACAAGTCCTTTTTCAAACCTTTGGTAAACGGATCCGTTAAATTTTCACAAGACTTCACATAATTATAGTAATTATATCATCACTAATTCTTTTTCTTACAACGCTATGTTGAAGTCTCATATATCAACTTTTCCCATTGTTTGCTTAATTATATGCTTTTGATACTGTTGCTTCATTGTCACAATGTATGAAAATTGGTGCCATTGGTTTAGGTTATAATAAAATTTCATAAAGTAAATCTCTCAATCATTTCGCTTCTTGGGTGGCAGATCTAAAACTATAAATTCAGCTCTGATGGTAGAGTCTGTTTGGCAAGATTGTTTCTTAGAATCCTAAGAAATAGCAACCTCATTAATTGTAAAAACTCAACTAGTCGTAGAAGTATAATTTGTTCTATTTGAATTCCAATTAGCATCTGTATATCTTTGTAAAACCGAAAGAAAACCTGAATAACAAATGCTATAATTCATTGTACTTTTTAAGTACCGAAGAACTCTATGAACAGCATAACCATATTCTTTACTTGAATTACTTGTAAATCGGCTTAGCATCCTAACCGTAAAAGCAATGTCTAATCTTGTACACATCATAACATACATTTGGCATCCAATCACCCTTCCAAGCTTACTCACTTTTGATATCATTGTTTAGGTTCTTATTTTAATCCGTATAAGGATTTTACAAGCTTACTCACTTTTCTTTCTTGATCAAGAAATACAAACCCTTCAGATTGTTCCATATACACTTCTTCATCTAATTCACCATTTAGAAATGCTGTTTTAACATCCATTTGGTGAAGTACCATCTTATGTATAAATGTAAGTGCTATAAGCACTCTAATTGTACCTATTCTTGCTTCCAATGCTTATGTATCAAAATAATCAATAGTTTCTTTTTATTTAAAGCCCTTTGCTATTAGCCTTACTTTAAACTTATTTATAGTTTCATCAACTTTCTTTTTTTTTTTAAAATCTATTTACAGCCTATTAGCTTGAAACCCAATGGGAGGTCTACCAACTTCCAAGGTTTGTTTCCCATTATCGATTCCATCTCATCTTGTATTGCTTCTTTCCAAAATAAAGTATCCTGAGATTTCATTGCCTCTTCATAAGTTTGAGGATCACCTTCACCTTCTACATTAAAGCAGTAAGGTAAGTTTATTGGGTATAAACTTAAACACATCTTCTAAAAGTTTGTTAACTAAAATTGTGAGTAGTATGTGCATCCATACACATTGGCAAACATACATACTTCACTTGGTCGAGTGCTTTTGGAACCCTTTTTGCCTTTGGCAATGCAAGAGTATTAGTGCTGTGGGGGGAGTTTTTCCTTGGTAAACAAGATGGGAGAATTTACACTTTGAAAAGCTTAATTATCACTTCTTTAGATTTAAATACTTTGACCGTACATGTTCAGCTGCTCCAATTCTTTGCCCTTTTCACGTTAAGCCTTTGTTTAAAGGTTCGTCTTTATCTGTCTCGGAGTTTTCAGATGCTTCTCTTTCACTGCAGATCAACAGGTGCCGAGGAACAATGTCTGTTTACCAGAGTAATATTTCAAAGAATAAAGCTGAACTTAAACAAGCACAATACAAGGATATTGACAAGCGGTACTTTGATCAGCTAATCCAGCTTAAGGTGGCAATTATTTTAATATAATGCAGATTTAACCTTTATCACTTGTTATATTATGTTATTAACTTGAATGTTTTGTTCCAGACAACTGAGATGGCAAACAAGGACCTGGATAGATATTACAATGCACTTGACAAGTATGCTATTTGCATAATTTTCAAGTTGTCTTTTTAATTACATGGCCAAGTTAAAATTTAAATTTTGAATTTTTTCCCAATATGTCCAAGAATGGTTCCTTTATATGCTAGCTGGGAATAATTTGGTAAGTGTAGATTATAAAAGCTGTTCTGATTGGGAGAGTGAAATTTTAGGTAAATTTCATGAGTTTGTACAGACAGAGAAACACTTTACTCTAAGTAATAACTTCCCTAAAAACTAAAAGAAAAAAGGAAAAAGGAAGCAAAGAGGAGAGCAAGTTGAGAAAGCATATGCACAGTGGTTAAGTCCTAACTTAAAAATAAATAAAATAAAATAATGAAAAGAAGTCAATGTTAAAAAGTGAGCCACAATCTCTTATTTTATTTTAGGTGTGAAGAGTTTTATGGTCTGTTTTGCTGAGTATTCTAATTAATTGTTGCTTTCACTTGAAACTGGTTGTTATTTCCTATTATATTGGTATTAGTATCTTTCAAGTTTATCTACTTTTCTGCTTCTTTCTATCTAATTTCATTAACCAGATTTTAGTATGAGTGATTGCATGTTTCCAATTGGATCTTTTAGCAATAAAGTTAATGGACAACTGCATCAAATTGGTATCACTTGAAAAACACGCACACACACACTCTCATACGTACATGGTATTGTATTTAGTTGAACAGCATTTACTGAGTTATCTGCCAGGGGTTTTGGCACCTCATATTTGTCCTTTTTTTGTTTATGTTTCATACTTTCTTATTCATTTTTTCCCCCTCAAAATATTTAAGGCTTTCTTTTGATATAATTAAACTTACTGGGAGGTGTCCTTCAGCTCTTGTGGCAACCAAAATCATTTTTTCAATCCCCTTTCAGTCAGAAATCACAAGTTGGTGGTAGTCGCCCATGGCTACATTGGAAGTCAAACCTGTCACTAATATTTCATTGCATTTAATGCTTTTGCACTGCATTGGAAGTGTCAATTTAGCGCATATTTTGAATCACCATGAATCTTTCCCTCTCTCTAAGAGTTAAGTGCTTTTTTAAAAGATTTTTACATAGGAGTCAGGTGCCTATTAACTTGGTTATAGATACCAATAAATTAACTGTGTTTTCTCTTTTTCTTGTTTATAGAGCACTCATGCGCTTCCATTCAATGAAAATGGAGGAAATAAACAAAATTATAAGAGAATTGTGGCAGCAAACATACAGAGGACAAGATATAGATTATATTAGTATTCATTCAGATTCTGAAGGTGCTGGAACTCGCTCTTATAGCTACAAGGTAGAGGACCTTCTAATTATTTATTGCTTTTTGCTTTTTTATTTTCTTGTTTGAACTGCAATATGTCATTATCTTTTTCCCCTTGCTTCCAAAATAGGTTGTCATGCAAACTGGTGATGCTGAGCTTGAAATGAGGGGACGATGTAGTGCTGGTCAGAAGGTGAGTGATCATTGGATGAGCGAAAATAAGTTGGGGGAAGTGGTAATGCATGAACTACTACCTTATCTACCGTCATTGAGGAAATGAAACAACATGGAAGTTATTGTTTGTTTCAGGTCCTTGCTTCCCTTATCATACGGTTGGCTTTAGCCGAGACATTTTGCCTCAACTGTGGTATCTTGGCACTAGATGAACCAACCACAAATTTGGATGGCCCAAATGCTGAGAGTCTCGCAGCAGCTCTCCTTAGGTATGAGCACCTTCATCTTTCCTTCTTATATTTTTCAGTTAGATAGTGGCTTTAATATTTACTGATCATTCCCTTCCCCTTTGTCCAGAATTATGGAGGACAGAAAAGGCCAGGAGAATTTTCAGCTGATTGTAATTACTCATGATGAACGTTTTGCTCAACTGATTGGTCAACGGCAACATGCAGAGAGATATTATCGGGTCACAAAAGATGATCAGTACGGCTTATCTTTTACTCTCTGAAGTTTTCTACTCCTTTTTTTTATTGTAGTATGGACTTTGTCTGATTTGTACAGTCTTTTCTTGCTCTCTTTTCTCAGTCAGCATAGTATAATTGAAGCCCAGGAGATATTTGATTGAATTTTTGGAACTTCATGCTCAAGTGCCTTTCATCGAGATGAAGCAATATATGTGACCAATGCTGCTCTTAAAATATAAGCGAGAGGTTGGTTTGTTATATGTAAGCTTGTACAGAAGTAAAAACAGTGATCTGTTGCCCTTCTGGTCATATAGGTTGTAATTTTAGTTCTCACCATGGAGTAAAAGAAGGGCATGCTTTGAACTTAGTAGCTGTAGCACAATGCAGGATCAAAAGGAGAGGGAATTGTAACAAAATTGTGAGCTATTAACGGGATATTGTGAAGATGTAAAAATATCGCTGTGTTATTTTCATAATATGCTATTATGAATCAACAAATGAAATTGAATGCTTTAATATTAAAAATCTATAATAGTTATATATGGCATTTTCTAGAGATACGTAAGGGCTTTAATCTAATATTTGTGAGGTCGATATTGCTAGCAACGGAAAAGTTGAAAGAACCGTTTTTCTTCATTATTAGTTTCTTCATTTGATACTCTTTGAACACAGCAACTTGAATTTTAGTTGGTACCTGCTACACCAAGATGACTAAAATGTCAATATGGGAAGTCTGAATGTTATATAACCCAAACTCAAACTCCTGATATGAAGAAAAGTGCAGTCGGATTTAGCTGAGATATCCTGACCGTTGAACCTAAGAAAATATCTTACTCTATTAAGGTTAGGTATAGGATATTCTCAACCTCGGAGAAGGCTACCACAAATTCCATCTAGCTTTTTCATTTCCATTTTTTTTTAAGCATCGACGACCATGAATTTCGTTTACCAATTATAAACTCGTATTTCACGTTTATTGTTAATTAAAACCCCAAACATTCCGGCAACAAAAAGAATATAATAAAATTGGTACATAAGTTTATGCAAACCCTTATAAGGCAGGGGCAGTGAAAGCTTAAAAATCATATGAAAATGACCACTAACCTCTTAAGACAAGGCAAACCATGGATGGTTTCCCTCGTCTTTTTCCTTCTTTTTTCCACTCATCAGACACCAACAGAGGCAACTTCCCAAAGACTCAGAGGCTGATTATAACAGCAATACCAATGATTACTATTCAGACCTAATCCTTGTACTTCATTTCGGACATCTTGAAGCCAGGCATGTCAAAGGAGGATGCAAACTTCTCAACATCAGCCTTGAGCTCTTCAATCTCCTTGTTGTTCACCAAACCTTTGTTGAAGTCCTTCAAGAGCTTTCCATACTGCTTTTGGATGTTCAAGGTGATGGTCACAGCTCGGTGGAGGAACTCTCCTATTTGTTCAAAGTCCTTCTCAAGCAAACCTCTTGAAGTCATGGCAGGGGCACCTGTCAAACACCAACTTGCATCAACTGTTGGCACCAAAAAAAACTAGAGCCATTTCTAATAAAAGTTTGACCAAACTTGAGTTAGGTCATCTCTCACTACCAATGGATTACAGCGCAGATATCCCCTACACAAAAACCAATAGAGAAATACAAGAGAAAATCCAAAGAAAACAACTTCTAATATAATCTGTTTCTAAATAATACTGACGGACAAGATAAATTAGATGTCTGTAATTCCAAGCCATTTTTCTGGTAAAAGTCATTTTAACAAACAAATATTGTGGCAGCCTTGATTTCACTTAAATAAACCTCTAGAAGATATGATCCAGAGTTATGCAGCAGCTCTTACCAATTCGCACTCCTCCAGGGGCCAAGGCACTGCTGTCACCAAATACAGCATTCTTGTTGACAGTGATGTTGCATAGGTCACAAAGCTTCTCAACCTTGTTGCCTGCAAGAAGAATGACAAAAAGATCAGAATTAAATCAAAGACATATCAATCCATAACTTCAGTCCAAGTAATTCCACTGACTTACCAGTCAATCCGAGAGGTCGGAGATCCCAAAGAACAAGGTGGTTCTCCGTTCCCCCAGTTACAAGCTGGTATCCCTTGCTCATCAGGTAGTTTCCAAGGGCAACTGCATTGGCCTTAACTTGTTTAGCATAAACCTTAAACCCAGGTGCCATGGCTTGTTTTAGGGCAACAGCAAGAGCACCAATTTGGTGATTGTGGGGACCACCCTGAAGGGATGGGAAAACTGCGAAGTTGACCTTGTCTTCAAAGTCATACACGGCATCTTCTGGCTGGCCCTTCTTTGGTGGTTTTGGTCCCTTGCGGTAGAAGATCATACCAGCCCTGGGACCCCTCAAGCTCTTGTGGGTGGTGGTTGTGACTATGTCACAGAACTCAAAGGGGTTTGCTGCCTCCTACAACAATAAAACCAGTAAAAATTAAGATTTGAAATTTTAATTCAATAATCCTTGAGAAGAAAAAAAAAGAAAAACGACAGTCCTACATTCCGGAACTACTACATCAAGGAATCTAATAATAATGAAATATATGATCGGACAAACTTTAGATATGAAATTTTGTAATTCTGCATATCTAACCAACTTCATATTGAAACAAAGATTGAGAGACATATTTTACATTTTAAAAGAAAACTTTGGAAAAGTACCTAATAAAATAAACAATTGGGAAGTCATCTTTAGATCCACTCACATTTTCCCTCCACATCCCCATTATTTTAGCCAAAAGATTCATTCGAGACCTAACTACACTTAGACTCCTCAAATCTGATTCATATTTAATGAAAACACGTTTCATTCATAAAATCCATTCCAACATTTGATCTCCAAGACAACACAAAAGTGTCGGCCGAATACAAGAGAAGAGTATTAAGTTGAACTCATTTTCTCCATTTCAGACCTAAAAACGTACTGTATATGCATTAAAATACAGAAAATGAATGCATATTTTGCACCTAGAAATCATTTTACAAACTATCACTATAATGCAAATGACCCACAAAAAATTGAAACAAAGCTAGCAACAATACAATGTCACATCAAAATGATCTAATAAGAAAAAACTTTAAAACCCAAATCAAGAATAGGAAAAAGTCATGCTAAATCCCACAAACCCCGGATCCAATCCACAAAATTTATAATATCATACAAACAATTGAAATCCCAAGTAAAACTCAGATCTAACACCACCAATCAATAACATGCAAGACCAAGGAAGAACAAACTAAGATCTTGTTAAGACAATACCTGAGCGGCAACGAGTCCACTAATGTGAGCCATATCACACAACAACAGAGCACCACACTTGTCTGCGACAGCCCTGAACCTGGCGTAATCCCAGTCCCTAGGATACGCACTCCCACCGCAAATAATAAGCTTGGGCCTGAAATCCAGGGCCTTCTCTTCCAACTTATCGTAGTCAATGTATCCAGTACTCGAGTTCACCTTGTAAGGCAAACTCTCAAAGTAAATGGAGGTTGCAGAAATCTTCTTTCCTCCGGAGGTATAATACCCGTGAGTCAAGTGGCCACCGGAGGGTAAATCCAGTCCCATGATCCTATCATGGGGCTGGAGAATAGCCGTGTAAGCAGCAAAGTTTGCCGGTGAACCCGAGTAAGGCTGAACATTGACACCCCACTTTGTGGGGTCGAGATGAAAAGCCTGCAGAGCGCGAGCTCTGCAGAGGTTCTCGATCTCGTCGATGAATTCATTGCCTCCGTAGTATCGGTTCCCTGGCATGCCCTCGGAGTACTTGTTGGTAAGGGCACTGCCGAGAGCTTCAATAACAGCGAAGGAAGTGAAGTTCTCGGAAGCGATGAGCTCGATGCCGCGGCATTGACGACGCTTCTCTTTCTCGATGAGGTCGTGGATCTCAGGGTCGACGGATTCCAGGGAGGAGTTGCCCCAAGCGTTTACTGGATCCATGTTTAGCGAGAGAGGGAGAGAGGAGACAGCAGGAGAAGGTTGGAAATGGGGGAAACGGTGAGCACGGGTGGGGAGAGGAGGAAGTTTTTGGGGATTTATAGAAGGCTTTGGTGAGGTTGGTGAAAGTACTTTTATGGCCCCCTTTTTTGGCCTTTTTATTTTTTTTATTTACTAATTTACCTTAATTCAATGGATGCGTTTTAGCTGGTTGTAGGTGGCCTTTGCTTGCTTACAAGAACCAAGCATTTTTCCTCTTTTCATATTTGCCTTTTTATTCAATTAAATTTTGATCAAACTTGAGTTTAAACCCTAAATTAATTTTTTCAAATATTTAAATGAATGTTACATGATCTTATCATGTAATATTAAAGGAAAATGAAAATTTATAACTAAAACTTCTTAATATGCTTATTGACAAATTTTGTTGATTTTTTTAAATATGAATGAAACATATGCATTGAGATGTACAAATTGATATTATTAGCATATTACATTTGTCCAAATTAAATTCTACTAAGTGTCATAGTAGATTTAGTAATAAATATTAGTAATATAAAACGATGTAGCTTATTTAGGCGCTTTACTCGAACAACAGTACAATAAACCGTAGGTTGTGTGCAAAAGAATCCACCTCGTACGGTGTACTTTGCAGCATACCTACTGATGACTGTGAAAGATGAACAAGCATAACAAGCTGCAACTACAACTCTTTTCCCGTCAAAGCAAAGGGCTATTGAATTGGGTTCCCACGTCATTTTCCTAACCATAATTAGATAAAATATATTGGTTGAAAACTGTTTGGTTATAAAGTAATTGCAACTTATGAATGTGACTCTATAAAAACTATTATTTAATGCACATCTTGATTTCACCGTATTATTGATCAATTTTGTGAATTAAAAGATAGGCTTAAGAAGAGCTATCAATACCATATGTACTTTGTTAGGCTTTGATTTTAACTGCTTGCTCCCAGAATGAAGCTAAAAAACTGCCCTAAAAAAGGGGGTTGAAAACGCTTAATCAGGCTTCTAATCAAGCAAGGTCAAAAAACTTGATTCGATATAACAGGATCAAATCAATCAAGCAACACTTAGTTAAGTGACCATAATCATACACCTAACATGGCATGCAAGTCATGGACTTAATCGCTCGACCATTTTGCTGACCAGGGTGAGGAGGGGATGATGTACGTTCGATGTCGCCATCCAGGGGTTGGTAAAATGTTAGGAACAAGTGCAATCCCACGTAGACAAGTTTCACTCAAATTACTCCCCAGTCTCAAGTTCGGTTGGTAGCTAATGGGGTTGTTGAGTGGCAACTCTGTCATTTCAACGCCACCAACCCCAACCTGAAAATCGACACTTTTCCTTTCCTCCACTTCGTCCCTTTTCCCCGCCGTAGCAGTCAGCAGACCTCTTGGGGTTGGTGACCATGCTGGACCTTTCTGGCTAATTTCAACCATTTTTGTGGCCTGGTTTCCAAACCCCCCACAAGTTCTCCGGTTCCCAATGGATTAATTAGTAATCCGATTAATAATGACAAAAATAATCAAAGATAACAGCCAGATTTTAAATGTGCCCAGAATAATAATGGGTTTTATTTATTATTATTTATGTTAAGCAAGATGGCAAGCAAACCCTTACCAACCCTTACCAACCCAACTAGAGTTCGAGTCGTGTCAACTCTGATTTGTTTTACTTAAATTCTAATGTATAAATTGCTGATATCAATTTTACATGGAAGTGATGGGAAGAAGTAGAAAATTGTCCATTTTCTTTGGAGAATTCAGCCGGGTGCTGCCAATTAGACTTCAAACATACATTAGTTTGTCGATGTTGTTGTCAAAGTAGCAATAAAAATTAATTAAATTCATATATTCTGCTAATTACAACAGATAAAAAGATGACAGTCCCTTTTACGTGCGCATTTAACTTGAGAATTTTTTGTCATCAAGGCTCATTATTTAATCCATGTGTTGTTGTACCTTTAGTTTTTTTTTTTTTTTAATTCCTTGGAGAGAGATAGAACATTGCAGTCTGGACTAGTATGCCTCCTTTTGAAGCTTGATTGTCGCTGTATTGATAATTAAACTAAGATATCATGCAAGAATTTACTAATTTTATTTTCAGGAATTAGGAGTTGCCAAAGCTTGTCAATTTGCCTTGACAAGTGTCGGTTATCCATTTTCAAAATTAAAGCTTCCTTCTTCTTTTTTTCTGTTAATGATTGTCTTAATGCACAGTGAAAAGTCGTATTCATAATCTTTATTTCTTCTATTTTAAGATTTGAAATCAAAATTCTTAAAATTATTATAATCTAAGTTTAATCATTGAAATAGTTTAAGCTTGTAAAAATGTTTAGAACTCAAAAATTAAGATGATTGCTTTATTGTAAGAATATTTTATTTAAAAAAATTACGAGAATTTGAAACCAATAATAATTTGAAAGATTAAAGGTCATGAATAAATATGTGCTCTTAAATAAAAAGAAAAAAAAGAAATTTACATCTATAGAGGTTTTTTTTTTTAATTTGAGAGAAACAAGATTCAAATCTTATTTTTTAAGTAAAAAATTATACATAATTAATAAATTAAATACTTAAATGTACATTTATGAGATTTTATATTCTTATTTTCCTTGGTTCTAATTCGCCCATATACTAAACTACTAATGGTTCAACATATGTTGACTTCAAGAAAATGTCGACACTTAAACAAGCAAATGTCGTCATCCATACTCCACATACTACAAAGATATGGAAATAGAATCTATGTTTCGTCCAGTTTCAGCTGCTCCGGGCTCAAACTTCGATCTAGATCTGCGGCCAACCCTCACTCTAGATTTCTTAAACACAAAATTAAATTATACGTATATGCCACGTTTTGTTGGGAACTTTGGGTTAACTTTTAATAATATATAGGTAGAAGAAAGATTAAGAAAAGAAAGGACAAGCCATTTATGTACACCTTCTTTGATTAATTATAAAAAAATTATGTGGCTCCACCAAATATTCGGATCTACAAAGAAAATTAGATGTTATATATGAAATTAATCAAATAATTTAATCTTTGATTTTTTTTAATTGAAGTCACAGAATATGTTGGTATGCGATGCAGACAGTGAGAAGTTAGCTCAATTATTAAAATAATTCATTTCAATGTAAGTTTTATAAATTTCTTATTTTGATGTATTATCATTTAATAAAGAAGATAATTTTTAATATATTTATTTTGATTTAAAAGTCAGAAGAAATTTACATGTCTCTCAATTTTCTTAAAAGTAAAAATAAAAAAAAAATCAAGAAGTTATCTCATCGATTAAGTTTTATTCATTTTTTAAAATAAGTGACCCTAAAATTGTGAACGTAAATGTACTGCCGTGAAAATGAGGACAGGCTTTGAACTACAGAACTGGCCTCATAGTAAGAAGTCCCGTCTTTACAGCAAACGTGATATCCACAACGGTATGACCCCACAAGCACATGGCAATATTCCCCTGCTTCTGCGGTCTTTGGTGGGACCACTCCTGATCATGCTCACGTTTCCCCCATCCCCACCGTCTGCCCCCCACAACACTAAATTTTGTCCACTGCTTTTAAAATTATTATTTAATCTTTATCAACGGCCACCGACGCAAGCGTTGCCTTTTCCCCTTTCATACTACAGTTGGATCTAAGATTTTTTATTTAAAAGAGTCCCACGAAATCATCCTGTTCTCAAAGATCTTAGCTTGATTCAATGGTATTTGCTGTAAGAGTAGTACCTCACAGTACTCTAATTAGATCCAATATTCTACCATTTTTAAAAAAAAAATTCCCGAAATAGAAAATTAAAATTAAAAATAATTTAGAATTTTTAAGAATTAGATTTTTTTTTTAATTCTTTGATGTTTGAAAATAGAAGTAGTAACATGAACACTCATAAAATGTTGGCGGTCTTTTCTTTAGAAACATGAGACATCATGTTGTCTTATCTAAGATTTTTAGAGACATTGATTTTGTATAAACAAATAATAATCTATCAAAGTTATTGTTTAATATTAAAAGTTCAAACCCTGATTGTGAGAAAAAATTTTCTTTGTACATGCGAAAAAGTTCGAAAGAAATGGAAGATTCCAATTTGAACTTTTGATTTATTTAAAGAAATATAAATACTTAATTACAAGTTTGAGTTGTGTTAATGGACAGTTTTTGGGTAAACTAAATTAAGATATTTAATTTTTTATCATAATTATACAAGTATATATTAGTTTTTAAAATGTATCATCTTTTTTAAAAAGAATATCTTGACTAAATACATAAGTCATACTTATGATGTTTCTCTTAATTTGTTGATATGTTAATTTTTTAGTACAATTTTACTTTTTTTTAGTTTTAAAAATTATTATATAAATTATATTTTTAATTTTTTTTCTCTTTTCACAAAAAAAAAAAAAAACTCTCTAAGTCTCAATTTGGTCACTTCGTCATCGGCCACCCCATGCCTCCGTCCTCCTTTCCCCTTAGGAGCACCAAGGGAGCGTGATATGGTGGATTTTGGTGCTCCCCGACCAAATCCGACCATTGGGTTGCTGTTCACTCCAATTAAAGTAAAGAAATTTTAAAAAAAAGTAGAAAAAAATAAAAAAAATTTAAATATTTTATAATTGTTTATTGATGTCATTTATACATTTGGGGTCAGAATATTCATTTTAAAATTAATAAATTTATATGAAATTATAATTAAAATTTAAAAGTGCTGGTATATTTTACTTATAGTTTTTTATATATATATTTTAAACATCTTGAAGTGAGTTTTGTTTTTAATAACTAATAAGAATAAAATTTTGGTAAAGATAATGGGGTGGTGGGATAAAGATGAAAATATAAATAGTTATATATAAAAAAGGAGGAGATTATCTAACTTAACCACAAAATAAAAAATATATATTAATTCCATCAAAAAATTATTATGATTTCCTGTTCCCATTTTTCATGTGAGAGGAGGTGGGAGACACTTGAGACTTTGACATTTGATAATAGAGTTACGATTTCATGGGTTTGATTCTAAAGAGTTATCTTGAAATTTTGATAAAAAATATATATTAATTCCATAAAAAATATATTTATCTGTTAACGATAATTACAATATAACTTTCTCAAAAAAAGAAATACTTTTTTACGATAATTTTAATCAAAATTATAACTTATAAAAAAATTTATCGAATAATTTCAACTTAATTTTATAAATTATTATTTTTCATAAGAATTTTATAATAGTTTTTAAATTAAAAAAAGTTAAGCCAGACAGGCTTTAAATGAATTTTGGATTCATGATATAAAAATTTGAATATATATGCCTTTCAAAAAGAAAAAAACCTCAAATGTAAAGTAATATCATTTTTGTACCACAACAGAAAATGGAGCATTCTTGCTATCCCTTCATTAGGAATTTACTACCACAATTATACATGGCAAGATCGTAATCCTTTATGGTAATCAATATTATTAAGATTACAAATAATCATTCATTTTTCTTCTTCTTTTTCCATAATTAATCATTTCATTTCATCTAACTTGCAGCCGATGTTTTATTAGAATGGGTTCAATAATTAACTTATTTTTATTACAAAAATAAAAATAAAAATAAAAAAGCAAGTGAAGGACCTAATAGAAAAAATCAGAGATAATTCTCTCTCTCTTTCTTTTTTTTTTTCTTTTTATATATATCTATATATTCCTGCTGGAGTTGAGATTAGAATTAGAGCCCTATAGGAGTGCCCACCCTTAAGAGGTGGATGAACCAACAAAGTTAAGACCTAAGTATAAAAAACATAGCACATATTTATAGTTATACGAGTATTATTTTGAGTCTCTTACTACATACTTTTGCATTATATTTTAGTATCACCACAAACATGCCCAGGTGGAAACTAGCATTAACTTTGTAAAGTTATCGAATTTTAGAGACAAATGAAAAAAAAAAGGTAAATCTTTTAACTCTTTGAAATTGCAATCAACTCTTGGGGACCTTTCAATTAAAGTTGCAAAATTCAGAACATACAGAATGTTGTAATTGTTAAATCAGGATACAAATGGTAAAAATTACTTGTTTCACTCAAATCTTTTTACTTGGAGATAGGTATACTTTAATAGTTTCACTAATTGTGCAAAAAATGAAAACAAAAGCAAATCAATTTTGCTTGAGAGTTGTAGGTTAGAAAGGGGAAGAAGTGAGCAGAGTTTCACTAGGCAATGCTGCAAGTAGTGGATGAAGGAAAAGTAGGAAGAGATAAGGACTAGATGAAGTGATAAAACGGATCAAGCAACTCAGTTAGTACAAATGCAAGAGGACTCCGTAAAGCAAGACATCCAAAGGGCCCCGCTTCGTGCTGCGTTCCCTACGCCTGACCAATATACACCCAACTCATTTAGGTTTTTACCAGATCCACCAACCGCGCCCTAACCAATCTTGGCCGTTCATTTAACCTCTCTAACCTATTTATAACATCCTTACTCCCCCGAACATCCCTCGTCACTTCCCACACTCTCCATTTTATCATCACTTCCTCTTCCAAGGGAGAGTGCCTTCTTCCTCTTACTCTTTACCCTTTCTCTTGTAGCCATGTCTCTTTTGGTCGAGAAAACCTCAAGCGGCCGTGAGTACAAGGTCAAGGACATGTCTCAGGCCGACTTCGGTCGTCTCGAGATTGAGTTGGCCGAGGTCGAAATGCCCGGTCTCATGGCTTGCAGAACCGAATTCGGCCCTTCCCAACCTTTCAAAGGAGCCAAAATCACCGGTTCCCTCCACATGACCATCCAAACCGCTGTTCTCATCGAAACGCTCACCGCCCTCGGAGCCGAAGTCCGTTGGTGCTCATGCAACATTTTCTCAACCCAAGACCACGCCGCCGCCGCCATCGCACGTGACTCCGCTGCCGTATTCGCCTGGAAAGGTGAGACCCTCCAGGAGTACTGGTGGTGTACCGAGAGAGCCCTTGACTGGGGTCCCACTGGTGGACCCGATCTGATCGTCGATGATGGTGGGGATGCTACTTTGTTGATCCACGAAGGAGTTAAAGCCGAGGAGGTTTATGAGAAAACTGGGCAGGTCCCGGATCCGGCTTCGACAGATAACGCTGAGTTCCAAATTGTTTTGACGATAATCAGAGATGGGTTGAAGACAGATCCCAAGAAGTATACCAGGATGAAGGATAGATTGGTTGGTGTTTCTGAGGAAACTACAACTGGAGTTAAGAGGCTTTATCAGATGCAGGCCAATGGATCCTTGTTGTTCCCTGCTATTAATGTCAATGACTCTGTCACCAAGAGCAAGGTATATATATGTTTTCATTTATTATTGCTGTTTTAGTTTCCAGCATTTTACATAATGGATCTGATTTTTTTGATGTAGATCTGATGAAAATGATTTCGAAATTACATTCATTTTTCTTAAACTGCTTCAGATCTGTTGTTTGCTGGCCCTGTTTTTACTGTCAGTTGTGTTCTGTTCTGATTTGCAACTTGGGTTTCTGTAAACATGTTCTTAGATCTTGATTTTAATCATTGATACAAAAATTTATTTTGTTTATCGGGAAAAGCGAAGTAGTCAGTTCAAGTGAGTTTATATTTGATGCGTACTCATTTAAATTATAAGTCGTTTTTTCAAAATTAACTTTCATTAGTATTCACTTAGGCAAATGTAAATAAGGGATATTTTTACGTTACTTCAGTTTCGTGATCTTTGTTTTTTTTTTCTATGATTTCTCAGGTAGTTGTTAAATAGATTTCAGTTGCAAAATGCTAAGAGCCTCTTGTTCATTAATTGAATTTGTGGTTTTAATTATCATTTCTGTATTCAATTTAATTGTTGCTATGATTTGATATTTTGGAACAGTTTGATAACTTGTATGGGTGCCGTCACTCTCTTCCTGATGGTTTGATGAGAGCAACTGATGTCATGATTGCTGGGAAGGTTGCTGTTGTCTGTGGTTATGGTGATGTTGGCAAGGGCTGCGCTGCTGCCTTGAAACAAGCTGGTGCTCGCGTCATTGTCACTGAGATTGATCCCATTTGTGCACTTCAGGCTCTTATGGAAGGACTTCAGGTTCTGACTCTTGAGGATGTTGTCTCCGATGCTGATATCTTTGTCACCACCACTGGTAACAAAGACATCATCATGGTTGATCACATGAGGAAGATGAAGAACAATGCCATTGTTTGCAACATTGGTCACTTTGACAATGAAATCGATATGTGTGGTCTGGAGAACTATCCTGGTGTCAAGCGCATCACCATCAAGCCTCAAACTGATAGGTGGGTCTTCCCTGATACCAACTCAGGCATCATTGTATTGGCTGAGGGGCGTCTCATGAACTTGGGCTGTGCCACTGGCCATCCCAGTTTTGTTATGTCCTGCTCATTCACAAACCAGGTGATTGCCCAGCTTGAGCTGTGGAATGAGAAGGCAACTGGCAAGTATGAGAAAAAGGTGTATGTTTTGCCCAAGCACCTTGATGAGAAGGTTGCTGCTCTTCACCTTCCCAAGCTTGGAGCTAGGCTCACCAAGCTCAGCAAGGAACAAGCTGATTACATTAGCGTGCCCGTTGAGGGTCCTTACAAGCCTGCTCACTACAGGTACTGAGGAGAGAGTTTGACGAGAAAAAAAATACATCCGGATGGTTTGAAATTGTTTCTTTTACTACAATTTTATCGATGATTTGTGGTTAGATTGTTAGGTTTTGATTTTGGTAGGAGTTTTGTGTGGGTGGTTGGAAAGTTTTTGGGGGAAAAGAAATGGATTGGTCTCTCGATGAAGAAGACTAGACGGGTTTGAATAAGGTGTTGGGGCTGTGTGGGAGATAATATTGCCGCTGATGCAGTCCAGTTTTGCTGCATCTGGTTATCAAATTAATTATCAAAAAGAGAAAAGGAGATGCAATTTGCTTTCACTTTCACTTTCTAATTCTTTTCATTGACAATCAACATTGCCGTCACATGCATCAAATAATGCAATTATACACTATATCCAAACCAAAAAAACCAATTAATCTTTTTCACACTGACTGGAAATTATAAATGATTTCACTTTCCTGGAAACTATCATAAGATTTTACTTGTCGATCAATGCTGTTGGTTTGTTTCAGAACGGATTAATGTGCTTATTACAACTGGTAGTAATTGGTTGTTATAGTTTACACTTTCCTGGTTATATTCTTCTATAGTTTTTTGGAATTTTATGCAGATGGATATTTTAGTAAATTATAATTCTGTAAAACAAAAGAGAATGTGTCCTATTGTATCTCAATGTATCATAATTTAATATTGAATGTATGCGTAGTTATATGTTTTAAATAACATAACTTAAAATAATGTGTTATTATATATGAAATAATTTTTTAAAGATGTATTTTTTGTGCTTTATGTTTTCTTAATACCAAATTGCATTCTGCCTGTTTACCAACCAACTTTGCACTAACAACATCTATATAAAGTATGTTATGGTATTGGAAATTTCTTAGTGGAAAGATAATGTTTGACCTTAGATTAGGATATTTGAACAAAAAGTTGGTGGTGGTAGGTTTTTCTTATTTTATATGATAAGCTATTTCCATGGTTGCGGTTGGTGGCTGGCTCCTGGCTGACTGCCTTGCCTCTATTTTTATCCAATCCTGTTACATAACTAAGCCCTTTGCCATACTAATTATACATGATTTGCAACAGTAGTGATATTTTCTTTCTCATTTTATTGAAGTTGAAAAGGAAGATGCAAAAAAGGCATGAAAAAAGGGGATTTGGTTTGATAAACTATTTTGTTGTAAGGAAATGCAGTCCCCGGTCTAGGCCTACCAACCCAAAATGAGCCCCACTATGCTCTTGCTTTACTAGGCAGCCTTTCCTCCATCGAGGACCCAATGGGCTGATGATCTCGGGCTTTGAACTCGTTAACAATGTATGTGTCTGGTTACCTCAGCAGCACCCTCTCTTTCCAATTAAAAACAACAAAACGGACATAGGAAGGGCGATAAACTTTCGTGGGAATAAATGCAGTATACCCATTCAACTTTCAAGGTCGAGAGAGAGAGAGAGACTTGCCAAAGCTAACGCCACAATCTATATGCCCTCTTTTTTTTTTTAAGAGGTTAGTATGGTCCCATTATAACTTGATTTGTGGTTGCCTTTCCTTCATCGCCAAGGCATAAATTGAAGTTCCATGTCTTTGCCACTAAATTATGACTGATGACCAAAGAGATGTTTCAGGCCACCTTTTCTTTTTGGAAGAAAACTGATATGGTTTGCTCCTGAAGTCAGATTACATATCCAACTTTGCCATTCTTGTCACGGAAGGCCGAGGATTTATCAAGTCTTGATGTAGGAATTGTGAATCCGACCCATGCTCTGAAGCAGCATAGGTCACCCAAGGACCCAAGTGAAGTTGCCTGATACACCAGTAAGAGTCTTCCTTCACTAAATACGAGCAAGCTGAGGTAGTCTAAGACTTCGATATGGGCAAAGTTAACTTCGTAGACTGTAAAAAATGAGAATAAAATTTCAGAGTAATTTAATTTACTTTGTGCCAGCTTTAAGACCATCAATCATATATTTTAATATGACAGTTCTTCGAAGAACAAAAAATAAAAAAGAATAATCAAGATTACTTTTTGCACATTACAAGCAGCAGAAAAGTGAAAAAATGGAGAGCAAGGGAGGAGGGCAGTGCAGTTAGTTGAAAGGGGCTTCTCCAATTAAATGGGCTCTTGTCCCACATGGCCTGCCGTACTATGTCTCAACACTCCCCACCTTTAATGCTGACATGAGGCCCCCTACCCGCTTTCTAGGTGTTGATGTCTTCTTCTCTTTAACTTGGGTTCTACTTCTTGCTCTTTTCTGGTATTGATTTCTCAATTTGTTTGTTTTCTGCTGTTGTTTAGTCCCTTCTTAGGTTGTGGTGGTTGGGTTCTTCCTAGTTTTATCTCTTCTTGGCCGAACCAATAAAAATAAATAAATAAAGGCTAGCAAGAGAGAATATGTTCCCAAATTCCAGCTACATTTATAATTTATGTACTTCCATTTCTTCTTTCTTTGCTACTTGCTTAAAGAAGTTTAGTCTGATTAGGAAACAGCAGCCTCACCTGCAAATGGCCACTTTCTTTCAGATTTTGATACCGATTTCTGTTAAACGTTATCGTACCATAGAGCATCACTACAGATTGTGTAATCGTCAACTTGAGTACTTACACCTTTTCATCTCCTTAGAATACTTGGCTCTTCTTTCCAAAACAGTAACCTCATCACTGGTATCACACAATCTCTGGATCAAAACTTTATTAAAATCGTGGCTTGAAGAAAGAACCTGCATGTTCCCAAAAGGTTTAAGTCCAGATTTTACTGTAATGCAGTTCAATTTAAGATTTCGTATTTGCTAATTTATGGTTTCCGCAAGAAGATTCAAGGGTGCAGTGAGGGGAAAGAAGAAGGATTTCAGCCATTGACAGTGGGAATAGCCAATGGCACTAAGTACAGTCCTGTAAAGAAGGGCAAGTGATGGAAAAAGCGATGTGTTTCAGCATTTAAGGATAGTGCATTCCATCGGCTGTGGGTCAATATATTAAAGCCTGGTGTAATGATGCTGCTAAGCTGATTGGTGCATAAGAGAGGAGTAATACATGTAAAAGGAAATGAGCAATAGAAAAAGCAATGAAAAGCTGCAGAAGAAGGGTAATGTCCAGGTCTTAGCGTCTCTGGAGCTAAGTTTGGCTTATGTTGTTTGTAGTCCTTCCTGCAGGTGAAAAATGCAACTTAGGACACATCCACCAGGGCTGAGGAGGGGAAGGAAACAATGATTGAGATCAATATTATGAGATGCACTGAAATTCAATTTGATCACATGTAAGGAAAGGGAGCAAGATTAAACTTGTAGCTTAACTAACACCTTAAAAAGTTCTTTGTTATCGCCACCAACCAGTGGTCTCATGATCCTAAACTCACTTCAATTGGCTGAGACACCTATGATGCTTTATTATAATTAACCACTCTGTACATAGATTTAAATTTTAAAACCATCGGGTTACCACAATATTGAAACCAAGGAATCATGAACCACCCTTTGCATGAGCAATAGTCAAACCTGCCAACCTGTTGCTTACTGAATAGCATTAATTTTCACAATAGTTCATGAAAACAATTTCTAGTCTAGATCACAAATAGCAGTTTATAGATAAGCTTTAAAAGTAGAATAAAATGCAATCACAAAAAGTCTAAACAATAAGTCACCTATCAAAAGAAAGATAAACTGGAATGCTGGTTTAAGATACTGATCGAGAAGAAAGCTTTGATAAAATCAAGAAAGGAATGTTGACAAATAACTAGGGACAGTAACATTATTAAGTAAGATTGATTGGAATGACGGTCATGGTTTGCCTTAGTATAACCCATCACATCTGAATGAAGAACTTCTTTAGCAGCTGGTTTGAATTGCAGATAATAATAATCCACAAAGGAAACAAACAAGATGTTCAACTACTGCAAGGATTTCTTTTACTCCTTTATTTGGAAAAAACCGCTGCAGGGAGTGCAATATTAGGAATAACCAACCTTATTGCTAGTGATCAGTTACAACATGCCATAAACTTGGAAGCCCATAAAATTCTTAACATTCTATTTCTAAATCCAGTCTCCTTGTGGTACATATATAGAAGATTTAACTGATAAGAACATCGCATGTAAGTATAGAGTCTACAAACAATTATGATCATGTGTATATGTAGCAAAACTCCCCAAAGGGATACAAAGTCAAATTCATTAAATGAATGAAAGAGAGAAAGAACACAAATCACTAAGGAGAAACAACGAGTGTGATAAACAAACTAGGCAACAGACGGTCTTGTATGAGCTTTTAAGATCACTGCCTCATGTGATGATCAAAGCTAATAGAAGTTTTTCAAACATAGATAATTAAAATGAGATGGAATTCCCCTAACTAAATCACTGGTTTTAACTCATGGCAGCAAGAGAACTCTTGCATTTAGGTTGCGGCACAGGGGAAAGCAGAATGGACCGCTGGGCTAAATAGAACTACAGGCAGGTAACACAAATATTTAATCACCCATTAGTGTTTTGATGAGATTATGCAATAATGAGGAGATTATAATGATCCCTTCACAGCAAAGCATGATTTTGATTTCTACTTGAACGAATAAAGAACTTTAATGATCTAAGCACTATAGCAGAAACCTACTACAAGCCTAAAACTGTAAGCCATGCTATTGAATTAATGAATTTTATCTTATGTGGGGTCTCACGGGCTGGTTTTCCTAAGGAGGGAGATTGTTTTATGGATGAAGGCTCTTCATTCTATGGAATAGATTAGGCAGGTGAGGTGCCTGGATTTACTTGAAGTTGATTGACCATTAGAAAAGGACAGGCTAGACTTAATTGTAAACTCACCTTTCCATCTGTTCTCCACTCTAGGTAGACTTCTTTCTTCAGCAGAAAAAGTTAAAACAAATAATCCAGAAAAGTCACAATTTTATTTAGGTTCTCATTGGGGGTTTTAATTAGGAAAATCAGTATAGCTGATTCAAATGTAGAGCATCTTGACAACCAAGATTTTGCAATCTAGAAGAATTACTTTGCTTATGTTAAAGGCCGGTAACTACTCCAGGTTATCCCTTCTTCTCTTACTGCATAGTTTTTCGGAAACCAAGAAACCAGAGAAGAAAGAAGATTACATACATTATTCATCATTTCCCCAACAAGCATCAAGTAATTTTTTTTTTTTAAATACTCTAACAAGGAAGCCTCAGATCTTCTCAAAATTCAAGTTAAACATGCATTTATATAGAAAATTAAAAAGTGAGAATCTTTAATATACAATCATAACACAGAAACATTTAAAAAAAAAAAAAAGAAACCCAGAAAGACACAAAAAATCTCAGAAACCCACTACAAGACATTACCACGTGCAAAAAGCAGCTGCCGCAGTATTAACTTCAACAATTGGGTTTTTAGGTTTTGATATCTTTGATACCTCTAGCACATCTTGTAATAACCTCACAACCCCTGTTATAAGGATTTGCCTGACCGGCATTACAATCATAGTAAGAAGCACCAGGCTTTGCACATGGGACCATGTCCCTCCTCAGTGTCTCATAGCTAATGTACCTCCTTTGCATAACCAGCACTCTCCTGTTGCTCTCTGACTCCATTTCTTGCTCTTCTGAACAATCTTCAAGCTTGTTGTTGCAAACCCTTGGCACCATGACATCAACTTCACTGTTTTTCAGTGCATTGTTGAGGTCTAAAATTGAGACAGCGTCACAAGTTTGGAGGAAAAGAAGGGATAGAGAGAGGATGGTGATGAGTGGTCTAAGTATGGGCATTTTTCTGTTTTGGTTTGGGTTTTCTCAGTTAGTTTGGAGTTTTGTTGGTCTGTTTGAGCTCTTTCATGTGGCCTGAAGGCAAGACTTTTTGAGTTGTTGGAGAGGTGATGGATGTGGGCGAGACATGGAAACAGTATCAAGCCTCCGTATATTTATGTCACCAACTAAATTATCCCACTTTGCTTGGAGATACAGTCAAGACTCAAGAGTGGGACTTTTCCCCCTTTTTCTATAGAAAAAAAAAAGCAATAGAATATCATATGATAATTTTTTTTTTAAAAAAAAACTGTTATTAAGGAAAAATGTGTGATAGTAATTTATTTTAATATGGATTACGAATTGTGATGATTGAGTGGTCAATTCAACTAAGCTAAAACCTGTTATTTTGGGTACTTGGCCTATTGCACCTAGGGTCGGAAATGATACACAGTGGGTATAACAAGAGGATTGTAACGATTTTATAAAGCAAAAGCCCGAGTCTCACCTAGTTCGCTACTTCACTTGGTGTTTGTGCTTTGATGAGGACAACCTGCCGTTATGGAAACTTCACTGCAAAGCTAGTTTTATATATAACCTGGCTACTTATTTCTCCTTTTTAATGAAAAGGGAATCCGTTTTGAGCTTTGCCTGTTCCTGAGGAAGTAATCATCATCATTTTCTGATAAAGAATACATGAGACTAGAAACAAACAAAACCCAAAGTTGCTGGGAACCAAAAGGATGGGATCTATTTACGACCATCAAATTTTCTATTAATCATGTTTTTATACAAGAGTATGATTATCTATATTGAGAAATAAAAATCACAAAGAAAATGTGTCAGCAAAGGACTAAAAATCTAGTGTTAACTTAAGAATTTTGGGTTATCAATCAAATGGTATTTAACATGTATAAATGGAGTATTTTGATGCATTATTTCCTATATGAGTTCAACCCTTCAAGGACTAGTCGTTTGTCTCCTTAACTAAATCAGTAGAAAGAGTCAAAGTTTGCGATCGAGACAAGTGCATGATTTAAATTTGTGGGAAAGCATGGTAATGATAGAGGAATAGTTTGGCATCCTTGTGGTGAAATTAGAGTTAATTTGACATGTTTTAATCGTGTAATCTAAGGGTGAGGCTGAGAATGGCGTTAGTGGGAGTAGGTCATCTCATTTGCTTGCCCTGCCCACTTTGGGTATTAATTTTCCATACTTGCTTTTGCCTTGTAAAGTGGAATTAATTGTTGCATTCTCTTCTATATAAGCTTATAAACGCCTCATGTCGACACATCAAATCAAATTTATTTTCTTCCACAAATATATTATATGCATGTATGTATGTATGTATGTATACATTGTTCATCTTTCATAGTACAATTTTTGCCTTTTGGGGGATGTAATCATGTCCCACACTCTTATTTTGAAATATTCAACATGGAATTGAAGTGGTGTTGGTAAAATTTAATACATGCGTACTTAAAAAGTTGAATGCAAATCAGAAGGTAGCACCCCATTCTTTATTTCTTTCTTTTGGATGTTTTCTTTAACGCTTTTGTCAATGAAACATAAGCCAAAATGAAATCTTATACAAAATCTTGAATGAATTAAGTCATTACATTTTTGGGTCAAACATATATATATATATATATATATATATCAAGAATAACAAGTATGTTACCATGTACCGTACCCGTGACTTCATCAATATTTCCCATTTTAGTACTCTTTTCAAACTCTCCGGTAGGTGTTCTCCCAAACTATTGGGGGATTAATATTCTTTATTTTTTAAGATGTAAGTGTCTAAGACAACAATTCACGAATTCAACTACTTTTTTGTGTATATTTGATAAATTTCAAACGAATAAAAGAGATTTGAATTTTAAATCTTAATTTTTAAAAAGAATGGAAATTACTATATTTAACTTGAATAATTGTTATTCAATAATTTCATCGATTTCTCATGTTTGTAAAAAAAAAGAGAAAAGGAATGGCCATATTTAATGATCACAAATATGGAGCAAGACAATATTTAAGATAGCATTGTACTACTATTAACATTATCTGAAATAGTACTAGTATGATAACATTTCTCTGCCATGAGGTATTGCTTTGAGTCCCGGATATGTGGATATAACCACACATTTGACATGAACTTTTGTCAAATTTTGAAGGGTAAGTTTTCATTTGTTCTGTAACAAGACACACTTGGGACTCTTAAAACATTTGGACTGTTTAACATTGTTAATAAAGGAGACATACCTCTAATAAGATGTAAAACTCTTCTCTCTCTCTCTCTCTTTCCAAATTTGTAGAAGAGTTTTCTAAAGAGAAAATGCTTGTAAGCTTCAAGGTGAGAAATTGCAGTGACCTGATTCAAGGAGAATAGGAGCAGTTAACTAGAGGACACAGGCTTTCTTTGATGATATATTAATGCTTCCTTTTTGGCACTAGGGCTCGTGAAGACAATTTTGGCTTCATTACTCTCGTGAAGATATCATTATTGATGACATTGGAGTCTTTACATTTGGCTTTTTCCTTTGTTTTAACTGCAGCATCAAAAATACTTTGCTATGCCTATGCCTATGCCTATGCAAATGCAAACCCCTTTTAGTGTTAGATACTCTCTCTACTCCTAAACCTATCATTCTCATAAATGAACCAAATGAATGAAGGAATTATTACTTTAACCATGAATTAGAACATGCATTAACCATAAGCACATGTATTTTTATGTTTAAAAAGTTGTTGCTAGCAACTGTTAAGCCTCCAATCGTAAAACATTTCAATATTTGATTTGCATTTGGCAACAAACTACAAGGCATCCAATAAAAAATCAGAAAGACCTCAAATTACAGGTATTTATCTTATATTTATTACAATCCGAAATATCCTTCCGGTTCCTATGGGCAACCCCTCTGTTAATATCAGCAATGGAAGGTGGGGCTCATAAAAGGAAAGATACCTCCCATTGAGGCAGCAGCTACCACCTTAATTCCATGGGAACCTCACTGACCCACTGCTATAAAGACATGACCAGAGACAGGATGCACTGGTCACCACTTCAATTAACTAAGAAAATGACAACAAATACAAGAAACTCATCATTCCTTGTGTGCTAAATCTCTACATATACTTGAGAACAATCACCAGAGAAGGATGATGTGATCCATCTGTTCTGCACAAAAAGAGAGGGAGGAAGGAAATAGGATCAACTAGGTAAAGGTTACATGTTTTGGACTGTAGAATAAAACTGGAGGCGGTCTTTAATAAAGGGGAAACCCCATCAATGAAGAAAGGGAAAAACATCCACCATGTTTAGCACCTTTAGTAGGCGGTGGGATAGTTGTCATAGCAACCCATTTAGCATTTCCAGCTGTGGATTTGACCGAACAAATCCGGGTGGGAAGCAGAAACCAAGATGTGTTCAATGTAATAATTGTATCTCTTGTTGCACCTCCTAGTTGACATTCTTTCACTAAGGTCTGTCAATCCTAATTTGCAAGTCAAGGAACACTCGATTCATTGCGGCGCTTGAATTCACACTAAGCTAAACATTTTAAGCTGTGTTGAATAGATGTCCTCTGTAGCAAAGCCTAAATTTAAGAGTGCTGTGCATTAATTAGGCAAAATCTTTTGTTCCAATAGTGCTAGCTCCTAGCTGAGATGCAATCCACATTAGAGTAGTAAGTATCTGTAACTGGTTTTCTTGTCTGTTATTCGTTTTACTCTCAGCAATGAGTGCAATGGTTCTTGTTTGCCCAGCATTGTAATTTTACTAAGCCTTATTTATGTCATACCAACCAATATTCTTGTTGTTCGGCTTGGTTGCTGGCCATGGTCCTTGTAAAGGGAAACCCATATTCTCAGCTTTTAATGATATTCTTATTTTAATTTTTTTTTAAAAAAATTATGTCATGATTGTTTTTCCGTACAAATTTTCATGGAAACTGTAATAAATCATTCTTTTTCCCACTTTACACTATATTGTTTCACTAGACAAATAACAGAACAGAACAAAACACTTAATAATTGGGAGACTCATCACCAGCTAGCCTGAGTGGATTCGAGCTTAGCTGTGAATGGTAGACGTGATAAAGTGGAATGTAAACAGGATTGAGAGCGGCTGTAAGTCTCTTTAGAAGCCCCAAAATGACCCAAAATGATCAAGAAAAAAAATCCCAACATTTTGGCGTATCTGGCTATCTCCTTTCACAAATGGAAGTTTATTGAAACCAATCCTCTGGTAGAGATCATGTTTTTATACCATGAAAACCCTTTGAACGTTAAATCATAACCACTTGTAGTTTCTCTTAGGTTTGTGAGAGGCACTGATTGTTGATTGTTTCAAGAACAGGAAAGAAAATGGGGATCTCAGATTTGATGTTTTACTAAGTTGAGATCTTTTGCTTTTATAGATGGGCAATAAGGCCTTCACTTCTTGAAGAAACCATTCACAGTCATACTAAGAATTATTTCCTAGCATTGCTGACATGAGAGGATCAAAATCAAAGGGAATGAGATTTTCCCTTTAGTGCTTATTGCCCGAAGCAGCACTCTTTACCTAATTTGAGCATTTTCCCAATGCCATAGAAGATCAAAAGCATATTTGTGCACTTAAGCTGTTACATCATTCTTTTCACAAGATGCAATTCTAGGTATTTACTTGTAAGCCCCATCCACCGTTTGGTATGTATATTCATTCTTATCATCCATAATCGTTTGGGAGACCTTGGCAGATGAAGTAATGTTCGACCAACTCAGTTGACCTTTTTTCACTCTAAATCCAACGGATATCAAAAGCGTCTTTGATTTTACCAATCACAATACCGCTGTATTATGCTAACGTATGTTTCTGATGAGTCCTAGTTTCCCAAAAGGTGTAGGTCATGCATAAGATTCCCTGCATGAACTAAGGAATAATCAGCAAATCAACTGTTCAAAAAGAAGCAAAATGAAATGATATCCTAAAGATTGATGCAGCGAAAAACAACACCAACAAAATGGATGAGATGAATCCTCAGATAAACATCTTTAAGGCAGACACATCGATTCAGCATCAATTTGCCAAAACTAAAAGTTCTAGGTTCTGAGATCTTTAAAAAATTATGAAATATACCACTAGGCAGAGACTTGAGTTTACATACAGGAAAAAGGAAAAGTAGATTACTTCAGTTTCTCAAGATAATTGTCTGTTGCTTAGTTACTGAAGCCTTGAAAACTAGGCCACACAACTATAAAATTCAATTTTACTAATGCTACATGGTTGTTATCTCTCCAATTCTAGCACTTATGTTGAGCAATATGCAGCAACCAAACAGTTGGAATTCAGCATTATTCAATTCAACCCAATTATAGACGTTTACAGATAAAATTATGCCATATATATATCAACTATAAGTATCAAAAGCAAGAAAAAGAGTGAGAAACCTTTACATATAGACCATTCACTGGATTTATGCCAACTTTGTTGCTCAAAGACTAAGTTGCTCCATGTTCTTAGCATTCCTCAGTAGTCCATAGCCTGACCGTTTGTCTTCTTGCTCTTCGTATGGGTTTGCCCGGTAACTAGAACTTGCCTCTTCATTGTCTGACGAACCAGGTCTTTCGGTGAGGAACTGTTCCCAGAATATATCATTTACCCTAACTGGAGGAGCTGCAGGCTCTTGATGTATATTAGGGGCTTCTATTGGTGAAGGTAATGCTGCTTCCTCATCAGCCATGTTTCTGTTGTTCTCAAAACCTCTAGTATCAGAGTCTTTAGTGTTGGCATTAGACCTTGACTCGGGGCCTTTTCCAGTTTCCTGACCTTGTTGGGACATCCTAGTTAAGCTAGGACTTCTATTAACTTGCAAAGAAGAAGATGCCAGAGTTAGATTTAATTGACAGGAAATATGACTATCGGGTTCTTCATTGGAATTTAATCTCTGTTGCAAGCTATGCACTGGTGGGCTTTCATTCATTGGTACTCTTTGAGTGAAAGATGAATCCATTTTGAATGTAAAAGATGTCCCTGTATCCGAAAGGTCTAATGTTTCCGGTGTAAATAAAAGGCCCTCAGGTCTGGTTTGTGCATCTTTTGGTTCTCCTTCAGATATCCTTCTCTGCGGACTTGCACCATCTTCATTGGAACTTTGTGTGCTATGAGAAACCAAGTTGATATCTGACACAGCTGGTGATAATTCTAGTCTTAGCTTGTTTGAGAAATCTTGGTGGAAAATATTTCCAAACTCAGATCTAGAACTACTGTTATTGTCCACAAGACAATTTTCCGCAACTGGCTTGATCTGATCAACTTGAGGCAGTCGCCTTTTCTTGTTATATGCTGTGACATCCATAGATTCAATCTTACGAACAAGATGTTCAACAAAAATAGGGTCTTGAGCAGCCTTTTGTAAGAAGTTAAACAAAGTGTCCTGCCTCCGCTCCATTTGATCAGCTCGCTGTGCCAGTTCTTCCAACTGATGCTTGGCAGCTGATCGCTCTTGTCTAAACCTCAAAACATTAGCCTCTAGTGCAGCTTTCTCACGAGAAAGCTTTTCAATTTCTTCTTCAAATCCAGCTCTCTCCGGATCTATCAAAGAACCCTGAGGATGACTATGGCTGTGAATAGGTTTTCTACGGTGGATATTCTTAAGAAGATGCTTTTGATCTTTCACAAAATCTTCATTAGCAAATTCCCACCTTTCAGGATCAATCTTACGGAACCCCTGTCACCAAATTACATTCATAAGCACTCAGATCATGCTTTGTCACTCCAACCCTCATATATCTAACACCAAGCAAACTATAGCTAATAAAAATCTATCTTATTCCCCTTATACCTTAGAGAAGGATCAATTTTATTCATTAAAAAAGATGCAAAAGATAGGAAAATGTTAGCTGAGAGTCACAAAAAAGTCTGTATTCTTTTCAAGAGAAATGCACAAGAAAAATAAAAATCTGAAACAATTATCAGAAGATACTTGAATTCCATTTTAGAAAAGACTTATTACAATCCCCAACGTTTTGTTTGCAAGATTGATTTACCTCTATAGTTCATTGACTAAGAAACCACCCCAATTCTCATAGAATTTACCTATCAAACAGAAGACTTTAGTTGACCTTAAATTTTGTGCCGGCTTTAACCCAAGATTGATAAAACAGAAAAATGGATAAAATTCCCGTTTCTAAGGAACAAAAATAAACTAACTAATTCACTCCCATATATTTGCTATCATCAAATCGTCACAGTTAAAAATGAAAACCTATAACAAAATGCAAGTTAAACGCTAAATAAAGCCCATAATTTTACCTAATTATCAAAGAATTCAATGAAAACCCACAATAAATTAATAAGCAAAACCCAGAAAGAAAAAGCTTTGGAAAAGGAAAGAAAAAGATAAAAAAAGAAAAGAAACCCACATAGGTATTAAGCTGCCTGATGAAGCTGGAGAAGTTGTTGTGCTTGAAATAGGTGGGAAGCAAAAGGCGGGCAAACTCAGGAGGGTTCCAAACGACAAAGCTCTTTTTGTTGGAACTCCAAGACACAATATCGTCGGTCGATGAGTCGTCCACCATGTCGTATGTCTTTAGAAGGAAAGGTGCAGGGCCTCCGCCGCCGCCACCGGATGCGGAGGGTGCACTTGGGTCCATTTTGGCAGGTGGTTCGTTTGTTTGGTAGGGGAAGAGTTTACGGAGTGCAGGAAAGGGGGTCAACAGGGGAAGCGTCAATTTGCCAAAACGGAAATTTGCGAGCGTTTTGTTGTGCTTTTAGTTGTAATGCCTCGTCCGATTTGGACAAAAGACGCTTCGCTTCGTATTTACACTCAATTTGATTTTTATTAATTTTTTAAAATTCACGTTTATTGTTTTTTATTTTTTTACTTAAATTAAAATCTAAAATAATTTTGAAAAATACTCATTTCATTTTATAAAAAAAAAGAAGCCTACATAATTCAAGGTTTTTACAAGATCTTGAATACATAAGTATAATATTAGTTTCCACATATACACAAGTATAATATTACTTTTTGAATATACACAAGTATTACATTAGTTTACAAACATTCACTGGTAAGATATTAGTTTCCGAATATACACACGTTTGATATCAATTTCAAATATACACATGTATGACATTAGTTTCCAAAAATACACCTGTATATATTAGTTTCAGAACATACACATATAATATATTAGTTTTCAAATATACACACATATCATATTAGTTTCCAAAATATTCACATATTATTTTAGCTTCAGAATATACACATATAATGTATTAATTTCCCCATATACACACATTTCATATTAGTTTTCACATACACACAAATATGGTATTAGACTATTAGTTTCCTAATATAAACAAGTGTTGCATTAGTTGCCATATATAGACAAGTATAGTTTTAGTTTCCACATATACCAAAAACCAGGCAGTTTCCACTATCTTCTCATCTTGAACAATTGCCTAATTCTTCAAAACATATTAATTACAAAACCAAGGAGATGTCTGTCCCGCTGGGAGGTTCATTGTCGTCTTTGAAGGTATGCACTCGGGATCTTATCAAAGCTGTGTAGAGATATGATGGTGTAAGAGGTTGTTAGGAGTATCTTCACCTCTGAAACTCAGAAAGACGTCATGGTTCCATCTAGAGCTAGAATGAGACGCTTCCATTTATGAAGCACTTGGCAGCCATGGCAAGGCAATCAAATATCCTATAGAAAGACAAGTGCCTTTTTCTGTTTTGGAAACTTCTTTGGCTTTTTTAACCTGAAATGAAATATATGGTGTTTAAATTAATTAAACAAGGGATGGTTTAATATTAATTAATTGATTATATGGTGTTTAAACTCATAGGTTTAAAGTAAACCTGAAATGAAATATATTTATATACATGGTGATGTTAATTAATAATTTAATATTAATTAATTACATTGTATTTATGAATATCACATGTAAAAAGACTCCGGTTCAATGAGACAAATATATGGTTGGACCGATAAAAATAACTTTATTGAAAAGAAGAATTATAGGCAACTAATGGACTAAATTGAATTTTATATTATTGAAAACAATTGAAGAAAGTGTAAAAATATATTATTATTTCCAAAAGGAAAAGTGTGAGAAAAAAAAAAGATTAGAATCACATCCTCTGGTAGAAAGAAGGAAAACAAAAATGTTAATTAATTGTATATGTCATGGAGTTAGTATAATTAATTAACTAATAATTGATGTAAAGCGTGGATATGTAATTAGATAATCATTTAAGTTTTGAGTTTAATAGATTTATGTAAAACAATTTTAAAAAATAATAATATCATTAAATATGTACTAAAGTAGAAAATTGTGTGAAATTTAAAATAGAGTTTTAAAGGACAAGGATAGAAATCGTCCTTAACATGGAAAATAACAATTTTTATCTTTCGTTTATTTTTATTCCTAATCTAATCCTCCCTTCAGCTTCCATATTCTATTGTATTATTCTTTTCTGATTGCTTTTTCAATAACTTTATATGGTTTGCTCAATTATATTTACGACATTATTAAACCATTATGTTTATTAAATATTTAAATAAATTAAAGTGTCATGAATTTTTTTGGAAAAGATATATATGAATATATTAAATTCCCCGATTGAATTACTGTCACTTCATTGTTGATACCAAAGTTAATCAACAACTTTATATATAATATAGATGAAGAAACGAATTTTTATTTTTGAACGCCCATAGGCCATAGTCTGCTCTACTGGTGTCCACATAACTGGCAGCCGTAGCTATTAAACTAATCAAAAGACGCGACTCTCTCAATTGAAAGAAAATTAGATAAATGGGAAAGGTCTCGGAACCATTACATGCTTCGGACTTAATCTCTTCCTTTATTTTCTTTTCTTTTCTTCTTTTTATTGCATGAAAAAGAAAGCTGTACCTAACCTAACCTAGTAGAATAGAGCTTTTGAGTAGATGTAGTCCCACTTTGTGTTTCTTCTTGCACTTTCTAGCGTCGTCATGCATCGAATGTCTTTGGGAAGCTCGATCAATTGGAAGATGGATGCCCCATTTCTTGACAAGACCTCTGCCTTGCGCCTCAACTGAAACTTCAATTTCATCTCCTTCACCCGCGTTTATGTCCTCAAAAATGGAGTATCGCAGGTAAGTTACCCATGCATGATCGTCATACATCTCCGCGTCAAAGGAGAAAGATCGATCAAAAGTCTCACAGCCCTTTGTCTTGTTTCTAAATAATATATTAAGGCGAGCACGAGTGCTGCTTCCATTATAGTAATATTCTTCATTGATCCCGCGGACAACCCACAAAACCATACATCGTCTCTCATCTGATGCAAGTAAAGGCATACAAATCAACACTGATGAAGATCCCGTTGCTTTGTAGTCGCACCAATCTGGCACCTCTCGAGCAGGGAAGCAAGCTTCCAAATACTTGTTCTTGGACTTAAAATCCTGTTTCAAAGAAATTAAGTTCGTTATATATGATCGTTAACATGGAGATAGATGGATCGATAAATAGATAGAGGGAGAGAGACCCCTGAACCAGATGTCCAGTTGAAGTATGGCCGGGAAAGTGAGAATGAAGGAAGATCCCACCCCTCAATGTCCATTATCTGGCGACAATTAGTTATTAGGAATCGCAAAAGATTTCTGGGTGCGTTTGATAGCTTTGGGTATTCAACGATCGATGTGCACCGCTCTGCTTTAAACCAATGTAATTCTGGAGGAAGCGCTTGAATTGATTGAAGGTTTTTGCAGTCATTCAAATACAGTCCCCTTAAGCGAGAATGATTGCTGATTCCAACTGACAGACTACAGAACTTGTTTCCACTTAAATCCAAAGAGTCAAGTAATGGGAAACTCCCAAAATCAATGGAAATGTCCTTGTTAGACAAGTTTCGGTTAAGAAGATTAAGCTTTGTTAATGAGCTTAAACGAGAAAACGTCGCCGGTAGTAAAGTGGAAGAACCCTCGCTTTTTGGTGAAACCCATGATGAAAAGAATGAGAAGAAAGATTTAGATGGCAATTCTTCTCTACATCCAGCTAATGATAGATCTTCAAGTTTCTTCAAAAGTCCGAAGGAAATAGGTAACTGTGTAATAGCAGATCCATTTGCAAAAAGATTTCTCAGAGCTTCCAACTTTCCCAAATGCTCTGGAAAACTGCAAAGTTTCGAGCAACCATTGAGGTTTAGGGTCTCAAGAGATCTTAAGTTGCAAATGCTGTCTGGAAGTTCCCTTATCTTGTTGCACTCTGCCAAGTTCAAGAACACAAGTCTTTCCAGAGTCCCAATGGATTGATGAACCTTAATTAAACTTGTGCAACCTTCAAGTTGAAGTCTTTCCAGACTTAGTAGTCTAGCAAAGTTGGGTGTCTCCGCAAGGTGGAGTGAATAGCTGAGATCTAGTATTTTCAGCTTGTGGAGAAACTGTTGCAACAAGAGAAAGAGAATAAGAACAAGTTCGCAATAATAAGCAATTAATATTTGAAGTGAAACGAATGATAAAAAGTCATTGGTGTTGCAAAGTGATTTTAATTACTTTTGTCTCCTTCCAAACTTTTTTGACATTACTAAACCGCAAGTCAAGGACAGCTAGATTGTCCAGATGAAGATTGGGCGGTAAAACTTGTAGAGGACATGTATGCCAACAGAGCCATCTTAATTCTTTGGAAAAGTTTTCATAGCACCCACTAGCGCAACGTACAGAATTGATTTTCAGCAATCTTAAATTGGTCATCTTTGCAAATGCTTCCGTGCTCACGATGACATCTTCTGATCTGGCTGATACATCTAGGCTAAGACCTTCCACTGCTTTAGTTCCCTAAAAGCAACAAGAGTACAGTTAATTAATCAAACACAATATACTTTTGCATTTATCTAGTATACACTCGCAGTTCCCAAAATTTGAATAGTATAGCAGATTGGTCCATGAAATTCAAACTGTCACAGATGTGTCTCTACACATTCAATGTTAAGGGTATAATCACTTATAAGAATTAAGGCATGTGTATTGCGCGTAGCAGACATATGATAAACCATGGATGCATCTAACGATGTTTTTAGTCAACTTTTACCATGTTTGTTTGTAGTAAGTTTACTACGTCCTGATGAAGCCACACCCTGCTGCGTTTTCCGGTATGATTTGGTGATATTTCACGAACAATCTCTCTTCCCATGTCTCGAAGTAGGTCATGCATTTTTAGCTTATGATTATGTTGGTCAATTGTTATGAGGGACCTCTCCAAGAGAACACTAACACCGATTACCGGAAAGAAGCCACAGCCATCTAGTATTTTCATGACATATTCTTTGTCCATCCCAATAAAGAAGCATGCAATATCAAGGAATATAGCCTTCATTTGATCATCTAGTGCATCAAAACTGATCCTAAGCTTCTTTTGAATTCGGTCATGAGGTATTTGTCGTAATTTTTCCACCACATTTTCCCATTCAAGCTGGCTTCTTTTAAACAAATAAGACCCCAAAACTTCAAGAGCTAGGGGAAGTCCTTGGACATGATCCACCACACTCTTGGAAAGTTGGAAGTAACCATCTTTGGGATTAGGCCTCCTAAACGCATGCCAACAGAAAAGCTGGATTGATTCCTCAGGATTCAATTTTTCTACCTTATATCTTTGATCCACCTCTAATTCAGTAAGCAAACGTTCATCTCTTGTTGTAACAATAATCCTACTTCCTAGACCGAACCACTTCCGATCTCCAACCAATGAATTCAGTTGTGTTGAATCATCCACATCATCAAGAACAATAAAAACTCTTTGGTAACGAAGCCTCTCCTGGATCAAATTGATTCCTCTGTCAACATGATCTATAATAACACTTTTCAAATTCAGGATATCAGAAAGGAGTTGCCGTTGTATACTAGCAAGACCATTAGGTTGCTTAGAGTTATCTTTAATATCTGAAAGGAAACTGCTTCCATCAAATTGAAATCCATCACAGACAGAGTTGTAGACAGCTTTGGCAATGGTGGTCTTACCTACACCACCCATTCCATAGATTCCCATTATGCGAACTTTTTTCGATCCGATGCTTAAAAATTCCATCACCCTTCTGACCCGGGATTTTATAGCAACTGAGTGAGTGGCAACATGCAAGTAAATGCGGTTTACTTTCCTGAGGACATCTTCCACAATCTTTTGGATAAACTTTGATTCATGTCTGTAAAGTAAGTTAGAGAAGCAACATAAATAAATAAATGATTAGCCTAAATTAAAATATTTACAAACTTTGGATACTAAAATGAGTGTTTAGATCTCAAAAAACAAGCATCCAAATCTTAATTTTTTTTGGATAATTATCTTAAAAAGAATTAAATAACTACCCGTCTGCGACGTTTTGCAGGTCCCAACCAGATAAATCTGCAGCTTCTGTAAGAGCTGTTCTCCACCTCTTAATCATCTCCGTATCTGCTTCAAAATGTTCTTCGTGTTTAGCAAATGCTTTTGCAAAACTTCCGGTCTGATTTCGAACATCAGATGGATCAACATGGTAGAAGATTGGAACAACAATCTGGCCTACTGTGTTTTTGCAGTTCATAATATTAACAAGTTCATTAAGGCACCACCTGGAAGAAGCATAGCCCTTTGAAAACACCAACAAAGAAGCTTTTGATTCTTGTATCGCCTTGAGCAGCTCGGAGGAGATGTCTTTTCCCCTTGCAAGTTCATCATCGTCTCTGAAGGTATTCACTCCAGCCCTTAGCAAAGCTGCGTAGAGATGATCGGTAAAATTCTTCCGAGTGTCTTCACCTCTGAAACTTAGGAACACTTCATATTTCGATTTTGATCTGGAAGAAGATGCTTCGGACAAGCCTTTGGTAGCCATGGGAAATTAAGTCAACCAAATAGGCAATAGAGAAAAAGGAATTTGGAAAACTGGGACATCTGAAGCGCAAATCTATTCTCTGTTGGTGTTTATATTACACATTAAGATCATTGCCCAATTATGAAAAACTTCATTGACTTTCGGTCTATTTATTTTATTTTCTGAGATTATTGCTATTTCTATGAAACCCCATAGAAAATGTTGTAATGTTGTCCCAAATCACGTAACGACTTTGACAGATCGAACACCAAAAAAATTGATTAGGGGAACGGAAATTGAAAGTAAATTTGACTGTACAATGATGTAAGCTGAAAGATATTATAATTGAGATAGGATAATGATTTGGTTTTATTGTTCATGTTAAAAACCATAGTGACAGGCATATCCTTTGTTATTCATTTTTTGAAGCCAGATAGAGCAGAGTCAATAGCTAATGAAATAAATCTTTTTCTCAGATGAGGCAGAGATTCAATTGAGTAGTTTGAGATTCAAGTTCTACTAATATTAACAAAATTAAGAAAATTTTATTCCCAGCATGGGAAAGCAGGAACAGAGCTTCAAACAGAGGGAAGCTCTGCAACTAGACCAAGATTTTTAATCCAAACTTCTCTTATTTTTCCTTCTAATTATTTTCACCTAATTAATTTCAGAATGCATGGTGATTTCTCACGCTCCAAGCTCACCTCCGCAAGAAATGAATCTTATAGAAACCAAAAATCGAAACGATTTTCTTTTATAATCTTAAAAAACACATAAATGTTCAGAAATTGAAATATTAAGTTAAAATACAAAATCCGTATCAAACATAATATTTGATGAAAGGAAATTTTGATATTGCTCAAAATTAGCTTTGTGGTTACTCGGCAACTTCATGCCCCCAAAGGTCGCTTAACATAGTATTTTATCAAAGGGGGATGCTGCGTAACTGTTTCCTGGAGGAGCCTGCCGAGTAATTGAAGTTCCCCAGGCTGAGGAACCCATGGTTAATATACTTCCATTACAGTTACTGGCATATCATCTGAGTGTTCTAAGGGGATTCAACGTTGACAAGCCTCGGAATCTTGCAAAGAGCGTGACCACACGATGAAGAATGTTTACTGATGAACTTGCATTCACGTTCCCCTGCAAATTATTAGAGTAGACACAGGACGCATTCTTTTGCGTCAATTTGTTTTTCCTTCTTGAGATTATTTGCAAGATGACTGAGGTATAATTGCATGAAAGCGACGATGGTTTTATGCCGATACGATGAACAAAATGACAATCTTAAGCACTAGACTAGCGTTTCATCTTATGATTGAAAAGCTTTAGCATGAACCTTATTTTTTTACAACATTTTCTTGATGAGTATGTGATATCGTCTCGATAAAAAAATAAATAAAATTTTATGGTTATTTTCTTTTGCAAATAAACTCTGAAGCCTGCATGCAGTTTATGCATTGTGATTTTTCTGGAGGCTGCACACGTTCTACATTTTGTTTTTTGGAGGGGCTTTTGATCAATCTCATCTGGTCTGCTAAACGCCGAATCAAAATCCTTGAAGCAGTGGCCAAACACTTTGAAGAACAATATAAAGCAGGGGAAGTTTTAGTGTTGAAAGATATTGGGTGCAACTTTAGA